ATTACAAGGCCAGCGTTCTAACCGCTAGACCACCTCATCTTATTATTATTTAGTGTTCTGTCTGACGACAGGTCCATATGAACAGGATCCTTCCATCCTTCTCTCGGACTGGGACCTGTTCATATACGTTCTTGGCAGATGATCCAGAAGTGGTTTGCCATTGCCTTCTTCTGTGTGTGAATGGAGTAATTGGAATGGAGTAATTTCACGTTCAGGACTTTACGTGGTGTTTACAGCATATAAATGTGGGTTTCAATTGTTTTTCAAAATAAACAGCCAAATATTCCAATAAAACACATTCATGATGTGATATAAAGTGTTTTCTTGGAGGTAAGGACCCCGTTTCTAAACGTTTTTTAAATGGGATTTTGTATTTAAGGTCATAGAACGTTGTCTTTAAAACTATGTATCGCTTCGAAAACACGATTAAAATCCCGACTTAATATTATTCACAGCCATTAGGATCAGATTCATACCCACACCCCCCAAAAAAACATAATTTAATTATACTGATTAAGCAGTCCCAATAAGACACTCACATCTGTATTAATTGTATTAGCCAATAAAGATACTCCCACACTCCGTGATACTTTCTGTAAAATTGGGCCCACAGAAAGTAACATCAGGATATAAGTTGTTGACATTTTTATATTTTAACCACCACGTCATTTTAATCTAATTTTCACAGTAAGTAACATTCAACTAAATAAGGAACAAAATAAATGTAAAATTTCGTAATCACTGCCCTATTTGAAAACATAACAGTAAGCTTAGCTTGTCGGCAAATTCCCCATTTTTTATGAGACCCGAAAGTTCATCACCGTGATCACAAGAGCCCATCACCGACCCCTATCATGAGCGAGGTGAATCTAATCCAACTCCCCCCCACCTAAAATCAATTTCAATATCACATTCCTATCTACGCCTAGTTCTACCCAGTGGTCTCTTTCCTTCAGCCCTTCCAACTGTAATTTTTAATTGTCGCTATGCCAATTGTCTTTCATATAAATACAATTAATAAGTTCGTAAATCCCAGAACGTAACGCATTACCTCCAGTTCAAACCGAATTTGGCAGCAATCTAATCAATACTTCGTGTCGTGCATACTTCAGTAGCAATGCCAACAGTTAATATGTGAATACAGGGAAAATAAAATAAATGTTTCAAGGTCTTTTAGTAGCATGAAGATACAGAAATTCCATTACCCTTCATGCCCACTGAAACATATTTCGGTGTTAAAATGTGGACAGTTTTGTATAGTATCACTGCATCAGTAAACACGGAACAAACAAACGTCTTTGGCCCTCTAGCCTATGTTTGTTTATCCCTGCAATATGACACCATACCCAGTATCAATAAGATAAATTAACTAAATTCATTAGTAGTAATTAATATCATTCATTACCTTCTATCCACTGCTGTAGAATGTTAACAAGTTCTGCCTTTTTTAGGTTACAATTGTTACACACAACTTTAACACTTTATAAACTATATATAACTACCACAGCACACGTTTTACGATACAAAGATATATTACTTAGGTTTTACGTCATCTTAAACTCTGTATATAAGTTAAAACTACTTCACTTTACAAGTCAAACGGATCGAAGGAACACAACGCGAATCAACTAACCTTGAAAACCAAAGCCATATTGCAAACGCCACGTGTGCATTGAATCATGGGAAATGCTGGACGGCAGAGTACATATGCACTCGTCATGCTACAACACTCATCGCTTACGGGCATTCTGCTGTTTTACTTCCCCTCTCAGAGGGGAAGTGACCAACGGAAAGAAACATTCTTCTCATACATTACGAATTTTATAAATTCGTGTGGCGGTTAGAATATCAATATTTTTGTACAAATCCAAAAACAACTTTATTTTTATTTTGGTGATTTTTGGCGGGGCTGGAGTATCTCTTCCAGTGGTTAACATACAAACAAATCTCTACCCCCATATCAGCTGTTGGCTTACAAAACAGCATAGATTTTATATCACAGTAATAAGTAAAAATAATGAGGTAACCGATTAAAGGGATTCATCACTTGCAGGAATTGTCGAGAATAAACGAGTTCCTCGACGTGTGTACAGTCCGCTCAAAAACGTTCAAAAATGAATTGAAGACCTATCTAATTTCCGACTTACTCATGATTCGTTAGCATTATAAAAGTAAATTTTTAAAGTCTATTTAACGACATTGTATCAACTTCAGAGAGTGAGAGAATGATGATCTTGAAAGGATTCGGATAGAAACGGTGGTGAATTATTTCAAGGTAGGATACCATCCTGTCATCAGCTCGGAGGAACTGAGAAACACGACGAACACCTCCGACCTTGAGCCCCCTCGAATACAAGACTACACGCACATTTAACGTCAGGTCCAACACTCGTAGTGCACCTGGTTACAAGAATCTATCTCCGAGTGACGACATCCAAGTTCAGCCACGACCTAGCATTTATACATTAAATACAAGGAGATTTCCTCCACATCAACACACCTTGTAGTCGTCTCTGTGTTAAAATATCTTTTCATGAAGATGTAGTGGGATGTGAAGTATATCTTCACACATTCTTAACTCAATCACTAGGCAGAAAGGAATGGTCAGATTTAAAGTCAGTCGTTTTACTCCCGAAAAATAAACCTAGGACTCTATGGGACCTAAGAATGGCATGGGCGTGGTGGTAAAGAGAAAATTTGCCTACCTCTGCCGAGAATCGAACCTCGGACATCCAGCCAGTAACCAGTTATTTTATTATTATTATTATTTATTATTGACTGCAAATGGGTTTATACCCGGTGGCAGTGTCCTACAATAACATACAAAACAATGAGACAGAACAAAACAATAAACAAAAGGACACAACAAAAACAACACATCCCACTCAAAATCAACCAACTCATAAATAATTTTAATGAGAAATTCCCTGAATGAGAACACTTGACATGTTTGTGTCGAGTGGTGGACTGGCCGTGTTCTTGGCGTCGTCTACGGAAAAAATCCGTAAAGACACTTCGTCTGGAGGTGATGCATAACCCGCCCGGGGTCAGATCTTCAATTTTGCAAAATTTGTCGGTAATTTCATGTTACACTTATCTGGGATGTTGGCCCGTGTAATCCAGTAGAAGCAGATAAAGGCAGAAAGACTGAAACGTCGGCGAAACGTCTACCGAGATACATGACACAACAAGCCAGAAGGCAAATATCTTCACTCTCGCTGACGTTATAATTTCAAATCTTACTGAGTACTTCGTTAGGTTGTGTCAGTTTTACAACACGGAAAGTTCTCTCGTAAGATGGCGGTGTTAAAATGCACGAAACATGGAAATACAAGTGAATGAAACTTGTGTAGAATGATGAACTGATTGAAATAATTAAATAACCAACACAAACTTATGTCCTGTACAAGTGAACAAGCCCCCTCCATCAATAAAGTACGTGGGATCCTAAGTCAGTTAGTGATATCGCTTCAAGGTTCCTGGAAACAGCAGAACGTAACGCCGGCACGTGGAATACAACACGTCACTCCTTATTACCCTACTTTAAAATAGAATCCTCTAGAATCAGATATACGATTACAGTTTCCTTTAAAGCAGATATTCTCAACATCACCCGATGTTCTGCAAATCCTAAAACTTTCCTCATTAATTTACTTGAAAATGGCGTCTCCTAGGCTGCTGCACTGTGTAATCTGGTAAAAGTTTACCGACGTTTCAGAGGCACATTTTGCTTCCATCATCAGGACGAAAATTATAATGGCACCAAAGACCTTTGAAACGTCGATAAACTTCTACCAGAATGCACGGTGCTACAACCCAGAATACAGACGTCTTAATTCGTTTAGTGACAATGAATTATTAAAAATGTTCTGAAAGAAAATTACATTCACAAAAACAAATAATAAATTATGTACTGTTTAATCTGAGTAATTAATTCTAATTCAATAAAAAAAATAAGAAAAGCAGACATGTTGGCCTCAATTTCCCCAAATACAATTACAATTTCAGACTTTGTTCTCCGAAGGTTTCAATTTAATAATTATTTTCATCGAAGGTTTTTTTTTTTTTACCGATTTCAAAATTTCAATATCATAAATTTTAATGGCTTTTATACACGTGTGCCCTATTGTGCTTTTGATCAGAGCTTCATAATTTCTTGCATCAATAAACACTTTTCACCGTTACAAAGAATATTGCTGTGTTATTTGGGCTGTAAAATTTAAATTACAAGATTCGCTTCAATACACCTCACTTTTGGTTTCGAACAAAAACAAATATATTTCGCCATACGACAGATTTTTTATGTACGTGTTACGTTGACAGATCGATCTGTCTGGTCTTACGGTGATAGAACGAGCTGATAGGAAGAATACAGGTGTGAAAACCACGGATAACAAGGACGATTATAAATAATAGAGAGAAGGAAAACAAAAGAATGGTAGAGAGTTACAGGAAGTAAAGATAGAATAATGTCACGTGTCATAACAACAGCTGAGAAGCTAAAGTTAAGTTGTCCCTCGTCCAAGGTCATTTTGAGAGGAATATAGGATAAAAAAATTCATAAAAGTCTTAACATAACTAATGTTTAGAAATAGGAACATTACTTAAATAAGATTCAAAGAATAATTTCCTAAAAGATGATACTGTAGTTGCGTCATATTGTGACTTATTAAATTAAAATTAATTATTTGGTTTTTCCGTCAAATCACAACGTATTTAAAATAATATAATTAAAATAATTAAAATATCATTCTGTGTTCCATATCGAATAATCGATTTACAATTGGAACATTTACAACATGTTTCGGTTTTATTAAACCATCATCAGGTGTAAAATTATATTAATAAATTTAAAACTCAATTACAATTATGGAACACAGAATGATATTTTAATTATTTTAATTATATTATTTTAAATACGTTGTGATTTGACGGAAAAACCAAATAATTAATTCCTTGCAGATGCAAAAAGGGTTAGAAATACTTCATAACACGTGGTCACATAATTTTATACGTTCCTTCTTAGTAGTCGTATGTATAAGGGGTTAAAAATAATAATTCTTATTTTTATAACAAGATACAAAACCATCAATTTTCACCAAACTCAAAGTAATTTTGAACTGCTGGTTCCCAAGCTGAAGAAGGAAATGATTGGACCCCAAAGGATAAATATAAATATTTTTATCTAATGGCGTTCAGTAAATACTAGCACGATAAATGTATTTTCTTACCCTGTTTTAGTGTGCAAACCCTAACCGAGGGACTCACTGTTTCCTTAAGGTAAATTCCGGGAAAGTATGTTGACACAGACCACGTCCTCCTATCCAATCCCTTACAATTTACATCTCATCGCGCTATTAAATAACACATGCAGTCGATAAAGCTTCAATAAATAACCTACACCAATTGAAAAGACGATAATTATAAATTTATAAACACACTACAATAATAATCGATGGCAATGGTTCTTATTTAATTTTTCTACGATGTTATATCAACTGACGATGTTACATAGTATCTGTCGTATGTGAGTTTTATAGGACGTTGATTATTGGTAATCTCAGGTTGAGACAAATTAAAACAATCGACAACTGATTGAGGTCAAACCGGGCACCTCTCAAATGCCAGCCGGACGCTCCTGTGTACTCCGAACTGGAAGTACAGTAGTTTGGGCGAATATGTCCGTTCGACGACCGTTAGAATTAAAATACAATGGGTCAGAGCAAATAAGGATGAATGTACTACCCACACTACAAACATTAATTTCTGTCTTAGTTCATATGTAGGCAATGTTTTTGGTTTGCCTAGTACGTGCATTTGCTTTCATTCTGCCCGAGAATTATTGATGTATGCAGAAAGCAGAGTTTGATACCGGAAATCGTAAATTTATGACAACGCAAGTTCGAAATACATTTATAAAATATCAGCATACCAATTCGTTACATTAAAATGTCAGTTCACTTGTCACCAAAAATATGAAAATTCTGTAAGCAGTAGACAGTGCTTTTTTTTCATAATTTCCTGATGATGGAGGCAGCAGAGTCTAATAAAACGTCGGTAAACTTGTACAAGGCTGGAAGTCTCATCATTCCAGAATACAGCCGTCTTCTTGAGCAACCAATTTTAACACAAGAAATTAACTAATTAATAATAAATCTCACTCTACGTTACGACTGTGATAGACATGACTTTTTTTCTGTAGAAAAAATACAATTACTCCAGAATTAGTTAATAATAATAATATTATTATGTCATCGAAATTCTTTGTATTTCGACGACTACTAATTAAAATTCGTATGGGTTCTGTTGCGTACATATGTTCTTGTAAGTACAGCATTAAACCGTACAATTCACAATCCTTAGGAACCCTAAAATTAACCACAAAAAATAAGTTTGCTTTTGATATTTGTTTATAATGGTGATGTTTGAGCAGGGTGTGATTCATGACGATAACGTATACACGTGTAAGCAAATCACCTGGAGGTGTACTGAGGTTTCAAATTGGTATTTCGTCACAGATGAGAGAAACACACACACAGATATAACATCATCTCTTGAGCCGTTGGAGAACGGGAGGGGGGAGGAGGTTGTTGGTTTCACAAGCTTTTGATAGCGCATCGCCATGTTTATTTAACAAATAGACCAGAAGCCAGGAGCTTTTGACGAAGCTCAGGGAAAAAAATAAGGAATCCGGTACATTACCTTCCCTTACCGGTTTGTTAGCATTAAAGTTAGAGAAAACGAGGTGGAGTACAGTCATCGTCTAAAGAAACAACACATTACGAGATTATTTTGCGCAAAGATAAACGCGATCTACGTAGCACTGCGTAGGAACGAATTTCTTTCGTGAGATTTTGATGATAGTTACTGCTTCGCGTAGTCTAGTAGAGGACCTTGCTGCCTCCATCATCAGCGAGTCGAAAAAAGTGGCTCGATGTTAACGTATGCGGAAATAACCCGTTGAAATTCAACGGGAGACGAATTTGTTCTTATCTTAATATCTCGACCTCTTCCTTCCCTTATTCCATTCTCAACTTTATCTCTTTCCTTCCTTTCATCCGTTCGTCCTTTAGTTACTTATTTTCGTATTACGTTCCACGCATCTGTAATTCGACACAAATCCCATGTTTGCGTGTTATAGGCTCAGGAGGTTTGGTTCTTAAG